GCTCAGAGTCTCCAGAGTGGGTCAGAGTTGTGTGCATCCGAAGTTCCTAAATGATCTTCCTCAAAATGGGAACTACGGAATTAACATGGAGCATACATTGCTGAAATAGAAAGCATTCTAATTTGTAAGACTTCCCAAATTAAAGTTTGGTCAAACTGGAAAGTCCAACTCTACATTAAATATGACCTCAGCCCAAGGTCCTAGTGTTTTTACCTCCTAGAGGTCTTCAAGAACTAAATTACATGCCAACTCCCTAGTCATTTTACATTTCTCCTCTTCCGTTCTTTGCCAGAACCCTAGATATCTAAAGAGGAGGGAAACACAATGCTAAAACTAATTAGAACATAAAGAATCAGGTGAAGTTTGACATTGATGCTTTATGTTCTCTACCTATAGCTTCAAGCTGTTAGTTTAGAAAATTTAATAAAATGTTGACGGTTCCTGTTACATGTTTCATTCTAAACAACAATGCATCTAAAGACCTTCCTACTCCACATCTGGCCAATAATTCCATAGCAGTATCTTATCTTTATAGAAAGGATTACTTTCCTATGCGCATTATAAAGAAAATGAGAACAGTTATCACAAATAAGGTTAGTATTGTGCTGCAGGGAAAAAAGTGGCATCTTTACTAATGCTTGCATTACTAAATTATTTTTAAATATAAAGATTTAGATTCTTTTTTAATTCCTAGGATTTATAAAAGATAACAATGTGAGAAATATTCAATATATTTTCTAGAAATTATAAACTTTAAATAGTAATTGATTTGAATTATTAATGTTCAATATAGAAATCAAAATCCATCCAACGATACAGCACTTGAGAAATGTTAGATCAGACTGGAAAATTAAAATTCCCACTAATTTCCTATTGTTCTTAAATTGACAGTTAAGGAAAACAGGTTTTGTGTGCTGCAAAATAAGCCAAAGATATAAATAAAAATAAATAAAAAATAGTACCTCATAAGAAATCTGCACTTCGTGAAATAACAGACAAATAGAGTGCAAATGTTTAGCCATCTGGAGAATAAGAAAATCAGAAGTAATAAGCAGCATTGGGAATTTATTACAAAGAAATTATGCCAAGAGCTTCTTATAGCCATTTTCTATGGAAATGTTCAAATTAGTGGGCAAAGAAATACACTTCATGCTACATATTTGAACCCTACTGGTATAATTTTATACATGATCTCTTAGCATAATATTTTCTAACTAATCTAAATTAGCATGGCTATAAATGCTGTCATACTGATGCAAATTTGCTAGCACGCTGCAAAGATCCAATCACAATGAATGGCATAGTTTGATGGGATTGTCTAGAGCCAGAGGGATATGATATTGGGACTTCTATGATATTGTCATACTGAATTGCAAGAAATTAATAAATTTGAAAGTAACAGAGGTACCACAAAGATATAAAGGGGAGGGAGGAAAGGAGAGGGGATAATGAAAATTATACCAGGCAAAGAAACAAGCAAGAGTTCAGCATCACCATACTTCAGGGGTACACAGTGCAATCTGAAAGGGCTATGATTATCATAGCCACTTTGATATTTCTACTCATATTTCCTACTTTAGAGTCTATGTGGAAGAGGGGGAAGAGGAACACGAGGAAAAATAACTAAAAAGGTTCTTTCCCATTGATGTGACCTCTCAAAACTTTCCCTCACTTTTTAATATTTCAGACATCAAATTTCATTATCAAGTGCTATTTTTCTTGGTGCAACATGGAATGCAGAAATTACATATTTTTCCTTTGAATCCATAATTCCTGCCACATGTGATGTGTTTGAACAGAATTGTGGAAAAACTAACCTGTCCTCAGGAGCTATGTAGAGAACATCTCAATCACAGTTCCTGGGGACAGTTTGGTTTTTCCACTAGGGAAAAAATGGAATAATATTCTCATTTACACAAAAAAAATAACAGAAAGAAAAACACTAGTCTACCTTGTCTACTGAACATCTTATTCACTATCAACACAGGGATATTCTTATAGCTTATTTCCATATGAACTGTACCCTCTTGATTATGTTCTTTCACTGTCTTCATTTGGTCAACCCCTCTGTATTCTGCTCTCTGACTTAACATTCACTGGCATCTCATCCATTTCACTGGATTATGGTTAAATCCAACACGTTTCTAGCATCTAACGCAAGGGTGGATCCCATCAGTTCATACAAAAAGATCTTCTCAGCTGTACCTCAACATCCTGTAGGTACCCAGAAAAGGAGGCGAGAGGACAACAGTTGTAGGTATACCCTAACATAAAATAGACTAAGATAGTAAAAAAACAAAAAAAGTGGAAAGTTACCAGGTGTTTTAGCAAAAGAACATAGCTTTATAGCTCTTCTTTCTTTCTTTTTTTTGTGTGTGTTTTTTGTTTTTTGTTTTTTTGTTTTTTGAAACAGGGTCTCACTATGTAGTTGAGACTGACTGACCTGGAGCTCACTATGCAGCCCAGGCTGGTCTCAAACTCACAGCAATCCTCCTGCCTCAGCCTCACGAGTGCTGGGATTCCAGGCATGCTCCATCACACCCAGCTCATAGATTTTAAATCTACTAGATATGGGATTAAATTCCAAGGCCTCCTTACCAGCTAGATGACTTTTGGAAGAATATTTAATCTTCTTTGAGCTTCAGTCTTTCCCTTAGGAAAATGATGAGAATAGTCATGCTTCACAGTCAGGATTAATATAGGTAATGTATACAGACTGTTTAGATCAGTGGCCAGCATAAAATAAGCACTTAATAAACAAATAGTAATGATTTAAATTCAATGAATTAAGGTTGATTAGCAAATTAGATGTTCATAAAAACAATACTTAATCTGAGCGAATTTCCATTTTGTAGAGTGAAGGTGAATTTTTAGAAGTATTAAGAGAACTGAATGAAGAGACAATGGCCAGACTGCATGTGAAAATAGAAGTGTAATCCAGAACCGCTACATCTACTATTTCAGAAAGCCGAATTTTAACTCTGTAGTCATCATCCCAGAAAAGCCAAAACTTTGTCAACAGATACCAGCTTTCCTGGTTTTGTTCCTCCCTTTCCAACTTAGAACCAAAGAAAATAGAAAAGCTCCCAAACCAATCATAAAGGATATTTTGCCTCCAGTTTGCCCTCCTCCAGCTTTCCCTGTCAACACCCCCCAATCTGAATGTACCTTAGGCCTCTCTTTTCTTCACTGCAAAATTTTCCCACTCCTCTGGCTGCCTTTGGGTTTCTGTCCAATCCAAGTGATGGTTGCTGATTGCCTTGTTTTACTACCTTCTGAAAAAACAGCCTATGCTTATTCTCAGTTCAGTGCCCCTCCTTTATTTCTACTGCACTGTCACCAAGACTAACAGTTCAATGTCCATTTTAAAATGCTATACTATATGTTTTATTACTGGTATTGTGCAGAAAACAGACAAGAGGACACTATGGCCACGAACACTCAATATGTAGCAATGAGCTTACAGACATAATCCAAATGTTTATAAAATGATCAATCTTCTCATTACATTATTATCAACTCCGACTAAATTCAACTCTTCATTTTTTCAAATGTTGTTATACCTCTTTCCTTTCCCTTTTGTCTAGAATCCAGAACCTAGCATTTTAGCAGGGGATGTTCTCCAAAAACTTCAGTTCCATATGCCTAGGTAAAATCATAGTAGACAAACATTGTTTTATTTTTTATCATAAATTTTCCAGTAAAAGATAGAGTTTCCTTTCGCTCAAGAAATTGTCTTCCCCCCATTCACAGGCTTTGACAAGTTGCTATCACTGTAGTCAAGTCCCAAAATGAAAGGTCTCAGAACAGGCAAGTAAACCAGCTGGGCCAGCGTGTTTAGCCTGTGGAAGTCGCCAAACTGGGTCGTATTCAAAGGGAAAGAGAAAGACGAGTGTAGGCTGATCTTATTTGCTCTTGTAGAGAACAGAAAAGGAGCAGCGAAACCTTGGGAATGAAGCCACTGAGGTTGCATGAATTTGAGGACTGAGGTTGCATGAATTTGAGGTGGGAGCAAAGCAGAGAAGACTGTAGGTCACCAACACTAAGGGGCGCCACCTAGGGGCGGATAATCACACTCACACGTTTAACAGTTCCAGAAGTTAGGTATATATGGTTCCTGATAAAGCCTTAAAACACAATTACAAAATAAAAAGTATTATACTCTAAGACAGACATGCACTAGCCTAGCATATAAATACCTGGACAATAATTCAACATGAATAGCGGAAAATCTTACGTATTGATGGGTGTATCTTGTTATTAGTCATCCATTTGTGTTGGAGTTTTAAAATTCAGTCAGTGGTACCCTAAAACCTACTGCAATAGCAGGTTCCAGAAAAAAAATGCGGCTGGGGTTACCTCAAGAATGTTACACTTGGGTCAAAACGTCCAAAGAAATATACAACAGTCCATGTAATAAAGAGGAGTAGGGGGATACCAAGTGAACTCACAAGTATTTATTGACCAGAAAATGAATGTGGAGAAAGAAATAATAATTAATAATAATAATAATAATACGCTTTTAATTGGTAGTCAGGAGACCCTTAAGTGTCCAGGGTCTGAAGGGGCTGCATTTGATTCTGGTCATTTCAGCAAAGAACACCACGTTCCCATCTGGAGAGGGAGGTTCTGGAGAGGCTCATTTCATTTGTGACGGGTTAGAGCAAATACAGGAATCAGATTCCCAGCCTCTCACCCAGAGAGGGGTTCAGTATGCGAGCTGATTGAGCGGATAGTTGGGGGAGAAAAAAGTGTAGTATAGAAAGAAGACATCAGCACGGGTCCAAGAGAATAATACGTGAGTCACCACAAGGCGGCCTTGTAAGCAAATTAAAATGTAGAAATAACTATGGCAAAAGAATAGTGAGACCTAAGGGAGGCAGTTCTGGATGGCTTGCATTCCGCCAGGGAGGGGGACTGCGTCCCTAACCCAGCCCGGGAAGTGCCCCCAAACTCGCCTTCCCTCCTGCCCCGACCCCAGGCGGACCCCTGCCTGTCACCCCGGCGGCGCCGCTTCCTGCTGTGGCTGCTCCACGGGCTGCGCAGGTGACAGCCTAGAAAGCCCGGCAGGCGGCTCCCGGGAGAGAGATCCAGTCCGGACTCACGGACTCCCGAAGCTGGGGGTGGCCAGGCCCTGTATCCGTTACTTGGGGAACCGCAGGCCGCGGAGGCCTCGCTGTGTGAGCGGGCCAGACAGTTGCCCGGGCTCCTGGCTCGTGCCCACTGGGCCAGCTCGCCCTGCCGCCGCCACCCCTGCATTTGAGCACTGACCCACACCACGTTTTCAGGTCTTCTACGTGTGTGTGTGGGGGGGTACCTAAGGATTGAGGCTTTGGCACTCAGCTACATCCCCAGCCCCTTTTCAAAATTTCTTTTGTTGTTTGAAACATGGCCTTTCTAAATTCCCCAGTGCTCAGGCTTCTCTCAGACTTAATGGTCTGCCTGCCTCAGCCTCCCAGAGTGCTGAGATTTCAAGCCTGCCCCACCAAGTGCTGCAACTTTTTTTTCTAACTAAGGAGCTTCACCAACCTCCCTTTCCTTCTTCCCTGCAGAAGGAAGGGACAAAGATCAGGCAACACCCTCCGGCTGTATCCAAAGTTCACCTGGCTTGGTTGCTGTTTTCAGGGTAACTTCACGGTGAAGATACCGCCTCAAACTGCTAGAGAGGTGAGGAAAATGTTTTCTCTAGGAGGGTTTAGGTGGGAAAAGTGGTGAATCCAAATCATTTGTCTAAGGGTCTATTTAGGACAAAATTTTAAAGTATTGCTCCTTCCCACAAAATATTAAGTGGCACAAAATACATTAACTAAGTTTTCTTTCCTGTCTGTGAATATATACTATGACCCAAAACAAGCATCAAGAAAAGATTCCTGAGTCTTACACTCTTCTCACCATCTGCCTTCTGTTTTCTTCTTTTTATTTGTACACTTCTGCAGCCCATGCAAATTGCATTCATCTTGGGGAGTGGGTACAAGTACATAAAATACAGCTTGTCTCTCGCTTTAATCCCCTTCCCCTTCTCCCTCACCTCTCTCCCCGAACCTCTAAATCCCCTTTCCCCCTTTTCATTTTTGATATTATTATTATCTCTAGGTCTATGACAAATAATGTTTACACTCATCGAGGTTATTGGGCCAGTTCGTGGCATCTCTTAGCCTATTCTCTCTCTTATCCTTTTTTCTCACTGAGTTTATTGGTACATTTTAGGTGTACAGTACAGTCACCTTCACCATTGGGATCTTGTACCTCTACATGACAGGTCTTGGTTCTCAGTTTTTCCCCTTGTCCCTGCCCTCCCTTCTCTCTTATTCTTATTCCCCTCCTCCTCTCCTCACCCCCGTGTCCTGGACCTCTTCCCATTTTCACCATCTGCCTTCTTGAATGGAAATTGAAGACGGTTAAAATCATAGGGTGGGGATGAAGATTCCTATTCTCTTCTAGACAAACATTTCCAGGCAACAGGAAACAGATAACTGCTTGCCAAGGTAAAGTCAGCAAAATCCATTGCTTTAAGAGGCAATTCAAAGAATAATCCTTTCTAATGGGAAGAAAACCACAAGGCCACACCTAGAATAAGATCCTTCCCGCTGAAGATGCACAAAGGCAGAGCAATAATTAGGCAACTGGATGAGGATCCTAATCTTATATTAATATATACAGAAGGCTGGCTGTTTTGCAAATTTAAAAAAATAGACTCTGAAATGGACTCTCCATGTTCCCATCTCCCTTTATTAATTATTTAAATTTGACTTGTAAATAATACAGTGTGAATTGTAAACCCAATGAATTATTTGCATACTAGGAAATATATATTCAAGAGAATTCGGATTATTTAAGTAATTTACTGAAAATAATACCTAGATTATCTTTTTATAAAGTAAAACTTACCTTACCAAGTTTTTTCTGAATTAAGTAGAACTCACTAACAACTGCAGTAAGAACAACTGAAAGATAGGTGCCAAGGACACTCTCTCCTGGTATTCACCTTGCATAGTCCTCAATACTGAGAATAGGATGCCTTATTCCTGTGACCAGTTTATCATGTGACACAGTTGACTCGAAAGGCACTGACCCAAGTTGAGTTGGCCATAACTGGTGGGGAGGGGGGAGTGCTTTAAAAAGAAATGGCTCTTCCTGGAGTCTGAAGTGTGAAGCTTAAAAGAAACGGGATTTGGCACCAAGAAGTATTCTCCCTTGTCAACTCTGAAGATGGAAGGGATTATATAGCAAGGAATGCAAGCAGATTCTAGGAGGTAAAAGCCAACAAAGAAACGGGGACCTCAGTCTTCTACCCATAAGGGACTGAGTTGTGCCAACAATCTGAGCAAGCTTGAAGAGAATGCTGAGGTCCAAGCCAGAAGGCGTCCTGCCAGTGCAATGACGACAGCCTGAGCAGACAACCAGAGGAAGCCTCACTAGCCCTTCTGACCCTCAGACTCCAGAGATAGTAAATGGATATCGTTTGAAGCTGCGACACTAAAGTAATTTGTTACACGGTAAAAGAAAGCAAACACTATGTACACCTTAACTTCCAATGGACGAAAGTGAGCATCTTTTAAATAAGGACACAGAAGTGTCTCTGGAAATCCAAGGCAGAATAATAGATGAAACTCAAGGACAGGTATAATACAGAGAAAAATTAAGTCGATACTAAACATATTGTCATAAACAAAAACATGGTAGTGATGGCATTTAGGACACCTTACCCCACCCCAGCAGAGTATCATTAAGCTGGAATTTTTTAAGAACAAAGGCAGAAGTAGAAAGGTCACTTTGATCTTTCACACCCTTCTACCTGAAGCAGACCTCAAAGTCTAGGAAGGACTTCCTGCCCTCCTCTTGATGGGGTTATAAAACCTTTCATGAGCGGTGCCCACCCTGTTCCCGAAGGACAGGAACTTCATTATTCCTGAAGACACAGGGTCATAGAGAAGAATTAGAACAAACAGGCCTTGTTCAGTCTCCCTCGGTTTACAACTATTAATTATACTTTTTGCCCCATCATCTTTTTTTCACTCCTTAAACCTACTAGGGAAAATGATCACAATTGATTTTTTTCTTTAAGTCCTCATTTCTGAAAGATCCTGGATCTCATAGAGCATATTAAATGTGTTTGTTTTCTCTCTGTTAATTTTTCTTTTGGTATATGGTCCTGGACCACGGACCTAAAACATATAAAATAGAAGTTATATTTCTTCTCTCTTCGGGTTTGGATCAAGACTGACCACCAACACCATCAGGAACTTAGGAGAACTTTTGGAAGATGACCGCATCATGGCAGGACTATAGTTGGTTTGCAGTTAGGAGGCGGGGCCTGTTGTAGGGTCCCTGGGAATGTGGCCCGGAAGCACCGCCTCCCTCCCAGGGGCTCGTCTTGCTCTCTGCTTCCTCGGTGCTATGATGTAAGCAGCTTTACTCCACACCATTTCCGCCTTGGACTGAAACTTCTACAACTACGGGCCAAAGTAATCCTTTCCTCCTTTAAGTAGTGGGTGTCAGGTGTTGTGTGCCAGTGAGGACGAAAGTGACCAAGTCATTCTCTTAAAATGACAAGGGGATTATCCAGGGATTTACCTCAGTGCTTCTGCCACCTGCCTCGCAAGTGCAAGGTCCTGAGTTCGATCCCCGGTACCAGAAAAAAAAAAGACAAGGTGATCTTACTAACAAATAGAAAAAGAATTTTTCTAGAAATCTAGAACAAATAACAATAAGCAGATGTTCTATGCTGATAATACAAGTCAAAGAGTAGAATGATTTATTAACAGTGTTTAGATGAAATCATAAACAAATAAAATATTTTCTTTGCAAAAGTATAATTCAGGAATGAGCAAAAAGGAAAGCCGAATGAACAACCATATATTTTCAAAGGATAAAAATAAATTTAATTCTTCGCAGACCCATACTGAATAATTTACTTCACGAAGAAATAAAATAGTAAAGTCACCAGAAAGAAGTGTAATTAAATCTGAATAAGCTTTGGTTATGTGAAAATATTTCCAAAGATCTACTTGTATTCCACTTATTGGTCATGGCTTTGTTTTTTTAATCATTCCCTATCCAACTGACATTCAAGACCTGCACATACTACTGTTTTAACATATCTTCTGACAGTTTTTTCAGGAATTGGCTTTAATTTCCGGACCCGTTTTTAAACTTACATTGGAAAGATGCAGAGACACTCTTGAATTACCTAAATGTATATCACCCTGCCTCTGAGAATGAACTTGTTCTAGTCACTGTATTGTGGATGAAATTCAATACCTAACGCTCACAAACTAAAAGAAGAGAGGTTTGTTTTGATCATGGTTTAGTCCACAGTGTTCCTGACCCAGATGAGAACAGTGTGGCAGAGGGATGGAGCAGAAGAAGCCGCTCACATCACAGTGGCAGGAAACAGAGAAAGAAGAGAGGATCCAGGGAGGTGGACATGCCCTTTTAGGTCACACCCTCAGTGACTTGCCTCTAACTGGCCCCAGCTCCTAACAGCAAGTGAGCTACAGCCTCACACTTCAGTCAGCTTACACCAGCCCTGTCTCAGAGCACAAAAGACCTTGAGGAGACTTTACAGATTTAAACCACAACAGAAATGAATCCCACTCTTTATTGGTAAGAATGTTCTTTCAAGGGAAGGTGTCCAAGAGATGGAGGAAAGAGGAGGTGAGGGAGGGGATGAAAACAAGAATTAAGATACATTATGTACATGTACCCACTCCTGATGAGCAATGCAATCATTAAGTATTGCAAACATGTAGCAATAAGAAAAAGAACTGAATGATCCCTAACAGAGAGAGAGAGAGAGAGAGAGACAGAGAGAGAGAGAGAGAGAGAGAGAGAGAGAGGAACACAGAGACATGCAGAGACAGAGAGAATGAACCAGAAGTGTCCTCAGGAAAAAAATTTAAATTGCTACCAGTATCTAATTATACCTGAAAAAGTGACAGAATACATTTTTCAAAATTAAAAGTTATTGTCTTGGGCTGATTATCTCCAAAACACAATTTACTTACATCCAATTAATTCTTACAGTAAATAAGTACATTCTTATTTTGTAAGGATTTCATGTTGATATACAATGAGAAAATGAAAACTTCCAAAAGAATATGAAATAGTTCTCTTACAGTGACATGTGATATAAAATATTTCAAAATCAGACCATTTGCCTATTTATTTATATGTGGTATAAAATTGGAAGACACCTTTAACTTTATTCATACATTAAAATGAGGCTAAATCTTCCTTGAGTAAATATCAATTGTACCTGCATGCTAAACGTTCCTACACATACACACTCACACTCATCTGCCTGTTGTCACTCTTTGTAAATTGTGGTCCCTTATCCTGGACTTTGACGCTTGAGTTTCATCAGAGCATTTCGTCCACATCATCCTCTTGCCATACAGCCATGTATTTACCATGTATCAACCCTTCACCAGAACACACAGCCTCAAACTCTGGGCCACATTAGTAAAAGCTTGCCTGAAAGGATACAGTTCATCTGCTATCAGGTATTGTAAAGATGGAAAGCATCATGCTTCCTCATCACGCTTTCATTTCTTTTCTTGACTCAGATGAAACCATCCCCAGATGCTCAGACATCATCGCCTCACTACAATACAAAGTCATTTTTACTGTGCTACATTACTCTTTCAAATTTTTCAGATGGCATTATATTTTAAAAACATATGAAATGCATCACTACATTTCTTTTAAAGGTGTGGATGATATTGTCCATCCTGTCACTCAATGGTCCCGTTTAAAGTTCTATGTAAGCAATTGGCAGGGAAGGAAGGTTTGAGTATGTTGGATGTTAGGAAAGACCAGGCAAGGGCTGGGGGTTTGGTTCAGTGGTGCCGTTCCCTGCCTCACAAACACAAGGTTCCGAGTTTGATTCCCGATTAAAAAAAAAAAACAAGACCAGGCACAATTTTTAACCCAAGAAGTTAGTATAAATCATGAGTAAATTATGAGGTTTATATAGTTATATAGGTATTTATAACCTATGTAATCATCTTCTTAAATCTTATATTAAATTCACTTATGGCAATTATGTTAGCTCTTTGTTCCTTATTTTCTGGAGAAATTACATTATACTAGTATTTTTTCACATATTTTATTGTATCAACATTAAATTTGTTGGGAGAAGTAGTGAGTTATAGAAAAGTTAAAATAAAGTGAATATAAAACAAATGCTCAATAAAGATATAGCCTATGATGATGTAATTTAATAAGCTCTGAGTTTAATTTATGCACTATTTAGACAAAAGTAAATTGTTATTCTCTGAAATTGTCATAATGTTTTCTGAGCCATTACACCCTTTTAGTGCTATTTACGTATTGCCTATATGACAGTATTGTCTAAAACTGAATCTGGTATTGTAGATTGGATCATGATTTTTGGAAAGTAGCAGTTTCACAGCCTATTAAAATCATACATGGTTCCTACATGTCCAACTCCTCTTGGAAACAGATCTAAGTACTATAGTGAATAATTTATTTTTTGCTGACTTTGGCTTATTATGAGTGCCAGATTTCCTGTCTCAACTACTCATGCATACCAATCCTTTTCACTAAAAGGATTTAATAAGCACCTTCCCATATTTTACAGTCTGCACAATCTTTGATTCTTTTCCTTCCAAAAGGGGAGGGACCTAAAATTCTGGGATAAAACTTTCTCTCATCAATCAAAATAAGGCAATTAAAAATATAGATGGATACATATACAAGTATGCCTGTGCCTACATACATACATATCATATCATATTTAGGTCTCCTGAATTGATTTTCACTGAAAATCAAGTAACAGAAAATGAAGAATCTTCATTTCCTCTTGATCACAGCTATAATCAATGAGAATGATTATTTACTGGTTTCTAAGCTTATTCTTTGGTGTTTCATTTTCCTGAAAAGGATCTGAATAATAATTATAAAAGTTTTGCTACCACTAATGTATCAAATAATATCACATGTCAGACTATACACTTTCCTGTCTTCAGATCTATGTTATAGAAATAGTTATCATCTCTCTTTTTCATAACAACTGTGATGCGAATGAGGTTAAGTAACATGCCCACAGCCACACTGCTGTACAGTGAAATAATATTCAAACCCCTGTGACTCAAATCTCTGCACTTCGCAATTTTATTAGGATGTACAAAAGATCTTATTCCAATAGTGAGTTATTTATTGTTTAGGCCACATGTTTTCTAAGAAATGTGACCCCAAAATAAAAATGACCATGATGATCATGAAGAAGATGGAAGCGGAGAGTCAGAAAGAACAACATGGTCCTCAGTTGGATCATTAAGTGAGGGTGCGAGTAAAATCTAGTAACCAAATTATTTATGAAATGTCCATTCGGCTACAATTTGCAGAAAACTGTCACCACCTCAAAGGCAGGCACCACCAACTGCCTGAGAAAGTACAGGAGGAGCCCATGTTTACAGCTTAGAAGTCATCACTTCATCCTTAAAAATCAACAAGTGTTATATTCATCAGAGAAACAAGGTCATAGGAAAATCCATCACCTGTTTTCTCTTTAGCCTTCAGTCTGACTACTATGCTTTGATAGCACTGGGGTTCTGCGGAGGTTACTATCACTTCAGAGAAAGGGCCGAATAAAACTGAAAGGTTCTGGGTGGATTCCTGGTGGGTTCCTTAATCTAATGTGTGTGTAATAGATCTACTTCCTTCTGAGTAAGGATCACAGTGTTAGTTTTCATGTTTTATGTCTGAGAAATAGCTGAGATCTGGGATTATTAAATCTCTTAAGGAGATTTTGTCTATCTATCTATCTATCTATCTATCTATCTATCTATCTATCTATATCAGGAAATACCTCATACACTGTCTATTTTATTGCTAGAAATTCTATGTTCCTATGGGACCTTTCACCCGATTGTTTTTTGAATCCATGCTGCTCATTATGATCATCGTTCTTATTGTATTTGACAGTAGAGTAAGTACATCCACCTGGCTTCTAAAGAGAGATGATTCAGCCACAATGGAAATTTATTGAGATTTGGGGGTTTACATTTCATATCTTTGTCTATGTATATCCAGTGTTTCCTTTTTCATTGATCAGTGACTCTCTGCTTTTTCACCAATGCCTTAAGTGTACCAGAGAGGCCACTTAACATGCTGAATCTCATAAGTATAACCTTCATCATCATCTTCACTATATTTGCCTTCAGACTTTAAGAGATGAACAATTCCCTGAAAGCTAACAGAGGTACTTTCACATTTTTCCCTCATGTTCTGAATTAGTATTGAAGGCACTCAGTCACTCATTTACTCTGCATTTACTATGAAGGGTTGTCTGATAAAGTCACCTGACCACCCAGCCGTCATATTCATTACTGTTACCATAAAGAATAATTTACTGTATACCTAAAATGTACCAATAAACTCAACTAAAAAAGAATAATTTCAAAACCTATTAACTTACCACATGTTGTCTTCATTCCATGCTTTTACCAGTAATAATCTGAATAACAGTACAGCCATCGCAGGACTCAGTTTACTATGTTACATTTGTCTCTAGAAAGTTGGCTGTGTGCTCCTTAGCTGTATCCAAAAGCCAACCTCAGAATCCAAACTTGAAGACCTGATTCCTAGGGCTTCTTATGCTGTCAAATACCATAATAGTCAAGGTATTATCAGCAAGAAGAGGACATTTTAAAAGGGAAAACTAAATAAAACATATTCTGCAATCTGTACACAGATTTAAGAGAAACCAAATGATTGGTTTAAAAAATTCCCAGAACTAACAAAAGGAAAAGCTTTCGCCAACACAACTTGATGGTATATGGGAAATAAAGATTAGCAGAACCCAGAACATGTTTAGCCCTATCATCTAACAGGAATTTTGACCTTCAGTCACCTTGTAGAAGTGAAATGGAAGAAAAAAGCATCTTAAAAGTACTGGATTCCTTCCTTTCTGTCTTATGCTATTATCCACCTTTAAAAGACAGAAACCATCAATTTCCGGTATCAAAACAAAACAAACAAAAACAAAAACAAAAAACGGAGATCAAAGGCCCCATTCACACTCTTCAAATAACTCAGCTGTCAAGGGGAAAGAGCAAGGTGGTGAATGTTGGAGAAGCAGCTCCAGAGAAGCCAATAACAAGTAGCCAGGAGGACGGCAAATGGATCTGTACACGTCACAGAGGGCTTTAGGTGGCTAAAGCATTGATCGGGACTTAGGCTAACAGATAACAGTAAATAATAGAAACCTGATAGAAAAGCAGGATACAGGAGCCTCTCTTTCTGTTAGAAACCCAATGCTTAGAGTGAAGTGTCGAAAGGCAGCATGTAGTAATGATTGCAGATTAAAAATTATGTCAGAGTAATTTCATCTGAGAATCTGAAAAGGCCTCTCACTATGCTCAATCTCTCTTAGGTACGGAGAAGAGAGAAGGTGCAGCTGAAAGTTTCCCAGGCCTATTGCTTCCCTGAGAGGATTATAGAACAACTGAGCTGGCAGGAGGCGTGAACAAAATCCCTAAGAAGTCAAATAATCCACACATCAACTAATACAAGCTAAAGTGAGGCCTTAAATATAATGTGAGATGTCAATTGGACTAAAGGTTAGTGGACTTTAAGGTTAGATCCGTCTGTTTGGTGACACAGGACAAAGAATATAGCTCACTCATTGGTCACAAGATGCTCCACATAAGAGGAGACTTTCAAATACTCTGAGTTGACTGAGTACAAATAATAGGAAAAGTATTAAAATCTGAGCCTAAATGAAATTGTCTAGATTCGATGATCAGCCCATCAATCAGAATGGGTGTTCAACTGAAAATTAAAATGCTGCATTTGCCACCTGAATATATCATTTGAGAATTTTACACACACACACACACACACACACACACACACACACACACACACAATGTTACACTAAAATAAGTTTGAGCCAAAGTTTGGATCAAGATGAATACAATTTAATATCCATAGTTATATTCCAATTGCCATTGGGCATTTCAATTTATAATCCCACTATATTTTATCCAAATACCCTACTGTGTTAATCAGCACTACTCAGCTTAAAGTGCAAGTTTTCTCTTCTGCATACATATTTCTATAACTCAATCAAAAAGTTGCTTCTACAGCAGCCAAGACATTTGCAACTATTTTCTTTCGTTTGAATCAGAGACTAATTCTAATTGATTGTACTTAAGGTTTATAAATTTTACAAAAAGAATCTATAGCTATTATCCCTAATGAAGCCCCTGTGGTGTGTCAGCCCCACCAGTGACGACTGCCACTTGTCTTGTTAAGCCTTCAGATTTTCCCTCTGCCATAACATGCTATTGCTAAATTAATTATAATCTTGAATGCCCATTAAGTCTATGCCCATGTGTTGCCTTGCAGCCTTCAATATTTAATCATAAATTTTAAGACAAAAATTTCAAATTAGTGAAACGCTACTTTCCATTAAACTTTAATGAATTAGAAAAATATAAAGCTAATGTTTCTCATGCTTTTCAAAAAATAACAGTGAAAATTTCTTTGTAATGGAAAACTGTTTGTGCTTCAAATGAACACGGCATATGCCAGGTTTCAGCCTCAAGACAATTTTTATGACCAAGTCACCAGATCCTAGAAAGAAGCTTTTAAGTAGAAATGTCAGTTCTTAACATTCACACAGTACTTTGAAGGCTTTTGTCACATTAATTATTTCTATTAATAATTTGGAGGCTCAAAAACAATTCTTGATTTTAATATGGCACAATGTATTTTAAAGTGTTCTTTTATATCTTCTCTCTTATTTCTGTTACAACTGTATGGTTTGTTGTAAGATTTATGCACCTACCTAGAAATAAACTAACCAAAGTAATGCTTCTGAATCTTTGTTCAGGAAACAGCTGCATTGGAATGATTAATATTGCCCTAAATTATTATTAAAAATAATGAATTTCCTCATTTACTTACATAGCAACTAGCTTCTTAAATTCTTTGGTTATTGTCTTTGCATTCTCTTTTAGGAGGAACAATGAAATCTGGCAACATTTATTATACCTACTGTATGTGTAGTATCACAACTGTCCTAAATGATTTTCATTCATTGGTTTATTTAATAACTACAAAGGTCCTCTGGGAATAGTTACTATTCCTTCACCATTTTTATGGATGAATGAAAGAATACCTGCCCAAGATAGCACAACCAGTAAGTGGTAAAAGAGAAGCTTTTAAGTTAGGCAACTGAAACACAGAGCCTTTGTGGTGCCCTTCTTTACAGGTAAGAAAAGTATGTACTCTAAAGTTACAATCTTCTATTTTTACAGTAAAATTTAGTGTATTAGATTTAATTCTATGTAATTGTACCTGTTTCAAGAATCAACTGTATTTTGGAGAGCTGAAATAAAGCACATGGCTAAAAAAAACCATAAGAAAGAAAATTTACCATGAAGAATAATTATATAATCCTGAAGGATGTATTTCTCAAATCTCTCAGAGCTACGTCATGCATTGACCTTAATGACAGAAGCAGTTATTGCCTAAGATTACAATTTTCTAAGAGTAGCATCTAATAAGTCATTGAAAGGCATGCTATAGGTTTCTGGGCTAAGGAGCTACTTCTAAAAACATAAAACCTACTTCCAAATGATAATTAATTCCATTTTGCTATTCTGTCATTACTAAAATCTCTCTGTGTTAAGCATCCTTGTGTACACATTATAAATTACTCAATTATTATTGACTCCAAACATTCATCTGAGCAGCACATATAGGAAATGCTTCACCTTTGAATGTATGAGCCAACACGGTCCTCACATTTCAGATTTTGTATCTTACCTCCCTTACCCTTCTCTTCTTTTCAGCTACTACAAACTTTTGTGCATTCCCATCCCCACTCATACCTCATAGAAGACTTTCTATTACATGTTCTCAAGGAACATACAGGAAACTCAAGGAAAGTTCCAATTATTCTCGATCAAACTTTTTGTTCTTCTGAAGAATTTTTAGGATCAGAAAATGAGAGCCCCTGCTCTCTCTCACACTCAAAAAATAAAGACAAGTAAGGGGTTAAAGAAAATAGACTCAGACAATCACAGCCCTGAAAGAAACAAGTAACTGGGGAGCTTAAATCTTTGTGTCAGCTCGTGTCAATCCATTTACTATCTCATTAGAAAATAAAGCACGTAACTAAATAAATGAATGTGTATTATTGCACTCAGATTTAATTTTTTCTGATTTAAAGTTCTAGCTTTCCTACTATGCCACAAGCTTTAAATTACTCTACTAAAATTATTACTGGCAACATTAAACAACCTAAGGCAATTTTTCTTAGTCAAAAGAAGTTCACTGATTATATTTAAGGTACTAGCATTGATTTATAGCTATATGCACTAATTCCTGAAATTAATTTAACTTTTAAGCTTAAAATAACTTCTTTTGTTTAATATATATTTGAAAATTAGAAAATTTTCTCTACAGCTTTCTGCAGTACAAATATTTGTGGTAAAAGTGTTTATTACAAGAAAGAACTCTTTACACATCGAGTCTTTACTTAAGTCATTTCACAAATGTTTACTGAGCACTTAGCTAATATTTTATTGCAGTGAAGGAAGCAAAAAGTCTTATGTTCTACTGGTGAAAGGCAGACAATTAATACATGTACAGATGAATACAGAATACCAAGTGGTAAGAGAAGATCAAGAGAGGTTAGGGATAGAGTAACAAGGGTAGGTGTTATTCTAGATGTTTAGGAAGTCCTCTTGTCTAAGGCAACATTTGGATAGCTAATTCAGGGAGAAGGCATGAAGTTATCGCGAACATGTCATTGAATGAAGGGATCACAAACACCAATGCCCAAAGGCAGGAAGACATAAATGCTTCTGCGATTTTTATATATTTATATTAGCATTTGAGAACAAAAATTCTTTCTGCTGTGTCTGATGGGTCTGGATCCAGGGTCAGCAGACTTACCTTTGTGGAGCTTGTCTCTCTTTATAGTGTAGAAAGAGGAAGAGAAGTCAGAATACCTGTGTAAAGTAAAAGTAATTTGATTGTAGGTATTGCAAGAAAAAGCGGTACAAAGCACTCTGGAGGAGTAGGGATGCTGAGAGCTGGGTCACCACTGAGTGTGGGCGAGCACTTTTGGGGTTTCTAGTCCCCATGGAGAATTTTGATGGACTTCAAAGTAGGCATTGTCCACCTTTATAGCAGAAACTAGAAGCCTGTCTCTTTTTCCCCCTTGATTGAGAATCGCATTGTAAAAGGATCATAACATTTACCCATGTCTGTTTGAACAGCAAGGTCATTCTTTGAAAAGCCCTAATATATCTACCAGGGTCATCAGTGAAACTCTTCAAGTCTCATTTTATTTTCCTGAATTCTGGATAAGTAAAGGGGACTTGTTTTGATATCCCCTTGAAGTTGGCGGGCGGGGGGAAGTTTTTCAGTCAGGGCCATGTAAGTCTAAGAAGCAGTCTCTGAGTAAAGTGGAACAGGGTCCTGGCTCATTTTATTCTGGGGAATGTGCTTCACTGAGGGGCAGGCAAAGGACAGTGTCACTGGGAGAGAGGGTTCTAAGGAACATTTGGACATCCATTTAGGATGACCCCAAAGAGAAAAAAACAAAAGCTGGGCATAAGATACCTAGCTACATTTCTTTCTCTCATAAAAGAGATCTAAGTGGAGGGTGGTGTTATAATTCAAGGACCCTACTGGGGTTCGCTATACTTGGCCCTCTAATGGGTATTGTGTCCAAGCCTCTGTACAATAAAAGATAAGAACCATTATTATTAAGTGACTCATTCTTTTGACCAGTAAGGCCAAATGACAGAAGCTCTCAGATTCCTGGGAAGATATTTGACAAAACCTGGCTAGCAAAGAGTCAAACAGGGCTGATCAGGGATCCAGTGGTATTTTGAAAGGGCCATTTGTAACACCTCAAGTTTATGAAGGAGAATCAGGGGTCCTCTTACTAAATCCTAAAACCAACTGGGAGACTTGCTTATGAAAGAGTATTTCAGGAATAGCTGGTTAGTGACAAAACAGATGACAAACTAACTGAACCTGATTTTTAGGTTGTAACCAGTAGGATTCAGGGAACAGAAGAGTTCAATCCGTTTAAACACCCATCGCTCTGTGTGCATCCAGACAGAAAATACAGTAAGTGGAGGGGAAATTCATTTTGCAATTGACACATCTGAGCCAGGGTTAACTAAAAAGTGAAAAAGTTGGAATAGTCTTAAAGAAATGACATCGCAGGGGCTGGGGATTTAGCTCAGTGGTTCCGCTGCCTGCATCACAAGCACAAGGACCCGAGTGCTAAAAAAAAAAAAAAAAAAAAAAAAAGAACTGACATCCTAGGGCTCAAGGACAGAGAGGTCTTCTGGACATACTAAGAATCCTTTCCTTCCTCCCCATTCACCTGTGGTCACTGACTGTAGCCAAGCCCGAGGGATCTGCTCTTAGCATAGGGATCCTGGCACTTAAGCAGATCCACCACTGAACCAACCATATGGGGGTAAAGTCTGAATCTTTTCTTGACAGTGAGAAACTATACTTGATCCTGCTGGCAACTGGGGCCTTCTCACCCAAATGAGGCCCAGCCAGAAGATTTCCGGTGTGTTAAATCATGGTGGGAGCTATCTCTGAAAAACAAGCCAAGAAGAGGATGGGGTGTCCTCCCATGTTCACTCCTGTTTAGGTTGGGTATACTGACCATGTCTGTTGGTCTTGGTTGTCTTTTTAAAATCCCAGATGAAGGGCCGGGGATTTAGCTCAGCGGTTTGGTGGCCTGCCTTGGAAGCGCAAAGATCCGAGTTCAATCCCTGGTACCAATAAATAAATAAATAAATAAATAAATAAATACATAAAAATAAATAAATAAATAAATAAATAAAATCCCAGATGAGCCCCCAAATTATGTTGCACCTGGTGGGTCAGGGTTCTAGGGTCCTTAGCCTCACCCTGCCCGGCTTGTTTCTCTCTCTCTCTCTGACGTAGAAAGAGGAAGAGAAGTCAGAAGACCCGTGCAAAGAAAAAGTAACTTTACTGTAGGTATTGCAAGAGGAAGTGGTTTAAAGCCACTCCAGAGGAGTAGGGGCCCGTATAGCAGGATCACTGCTGAGTGTGGACCAGCAGTCCTGTTTTCGTACAGCTGGGGTCCCATCCTCACTACCCCCACCTTTTACGTGTCACTACTTGATTGGTTATTGGGCTTGTTGCTAGGGGGCTAGGTTTGGTGAGCTAATGGGCGAATTTTAAGGGGAAACATTTTAGGAAGAAGTAGCTTACCTGAAGAGGAGCTTAGGCCGGACAGTGTCAGCAACACAGAGGCAGGTATCAAACCACAGACTGTCAGCTGAGCTGCTTGCTGCAGTGCAGAGATTATCTTTCTTTTATTTCTTAAGGGCCTAGTTCCCTGATTCAGCCCTACCTAAGGATCTCATTTTCCCTATGCTGCAAAAACATGCACTCAAATTAATTGCATGCAAAGGGGAATTAAGATGAAGAGAGATTGTGCAAAGTCTTTTCATCTTTGAAACCAGAAAATACAAATACTAGTATCACTGTCACCCAGGCAGTTCACCCAGGCAGGCAGTTAAGCATGGCCAGTAGCTACAGGCAATAGATTGGAAATCAGTTAACAATATGATATCAGAGCAGAGGTAGCAAGAGTAGAGAGAATGAAGACAATGAAATTCCAGGAACGTAGGACCACCTTCCAGTGGCATGTATACATTCTGAGCCTCAAAGCTGGGAACCACCACGGCTGGGGCTGCATCAGGGCAGGAGATGTTGCTACAGGGACCCTATTTTTTCTTACAGTAGGTTCCTAATGCAGCAGCTGAATGAAGGCTTCTTTCTTTTCTGTGCAAGAAGCTATGATGCTTCTCTTGACATTTTGGTTCCTTTTGTCCCAGAAGAATCACACATGAATGGAGTGCAACTTTACATCGTGCTGATGTCTTTACCCTGTTCATGGTCAAACAGAAGCTCATTTGCATTGCTGAACCATGTGTTACAGAGAAATGAAAACATTTGGTGAGTTAGCAAGAGAAATATTAGGGCAATGTGTCTGGGGGCCAAGAGTGAGCAAAGTATTAAAACATAAGTAGCTGAGTACTCAGGACCAAATCCTATGGGACTTATGTAGGGCAGCCAGAGCAAAAATAACACAGAATTTAGGATTTTAGCTTTTACTGTAAATGTGATAAGGTATCAGACGATTACAAGCTAGAGAAGGAAATAATCTGGCTTCTTTTTCTTTAAAGGAACACTCTGGCAGTTGTGTGGAGAATAAGGCCTAGGAATTAAGGAAGAAAACCTGAAAATGAGTTAAATAGCCATCCTGATAAGAGATTATTATTAATGAAATATCATCTAATTAGTCATGCTAATAAATGGAAAGATACTGAATATACCTTTAAAGACAGAGTATCAGGACTCTCTTAGAGATTAGATGTGGATTGTAAAAAATAGAAACCAAATGAGACTGCAAGCATTGAAGGGATTTTGGTTTGTTTATTGTTTTGCCTTGGTTTTGCTTGATCTTATTGAATAAAGATGTCACTGACTGAAATAGGAAGAGCAGGAGGAGAAGTAACTTTAGAAGGGATTTTAAAAGGAACCAATAGGTTCATTTTGGATTTAGAACTAAGACACCTAATAGAAACCCAAGAGGAGACATAGAGTCCCTAATGAAGGAGACTGCTAGAGCTAAATTGTACATTGTTACATCAGGAGAATATAGATAACATTTGAAAATATGGAAATGGATGCGCTCACTTAGGAAGTCAAAATGGATACTTCAGCAGATCAGACCGACAGTAGTAGTTTTGAAAAATCAAGAAATGCCACGAGGCAAGAAAGAGAGCCTGGGACTGAAAGAAAAGTGAGACAGACACTCCTAACAGTATTAGCAAATTGAAGCAAAGAAAACCATTTAAGAATGGAGACATGTGATCAACTTTGTCAGGTGCTTTTATTAAGCTATATGAATTGAGAATCTATGAGTGTACAGTGTATTTCAGATGTTCTGCACTTTGAAATCATAACCGAATGGTCTTTGTGAGGCAAAAGAATGCACTGAGAA